AAGAAAAAAAAATCACTGTTTCCATAATTAACAATAATATTATGCTCTTCAAAAACCTCAAGTACTCAAGGAACTTAAAGACTCATGAGGGTCCTTGAATCAATAGGCAATAGAGAAAAAAAAATTATATACCTATGACAGGTTGGGTTTTTGAAGAAAATGCATTATTCTGCTCTTATTAATGACACTAGTGAATCCATTTCTTAACTTTGGCCAGGAGGTCCCCTTTCACTACATAAAGATTAGTAAATAATAGTTTATATCACCAGAGGCAGTTGGAGGTTCATCTATAACTGTCTTAGGCACAACTTCTTATCCAATATGATTTGTTTCCACAAGATTGAAGTCAGGCCACAGAAGATATTTTCTACAGATAATGATTATAGGGGGCAAGGAAAATATGGATGCTATATCACGAACCATGCTATTGAGAGTATCTCCTGGTTAGTAGCACTATGTTTGATGAAAAATGCTGTGTACTAAGAGTTTATGAAGAATCTACCATGGCTAGTCACTATGTCAAGGACTGGAAGTACATCTGTGTGTCAGTCAGGATGGGCTGATTTAGGCAACAATAACAAATAACCTCAAAAGCTCAGTAGCATAAACCAACGTAGGTTTATTTGTTGTTCATTCTGTGTGTCCGTCATGGACCAATGGAGGGCCCTGCTCATTGTAGTCTCTCATGCTGACCATCTTGAGTCATCAGATACCCACCATCTTGAGTGTTGCCATCTACCAAAGGAAAAATTGAATCAAACCAGCAACTAATTACTCTGTCCTAAAAGTGACTCCCATTATTCCTATTGATGATTCACTGATCCAATGGTCACACAGGCCTGCTCCACACACAAGGTGTCAGGAAGTACAATCCCATCACGTGCCCAGAAGGGCAAGTAAATGGACATATTTGGTGAATAGCATCAGTAACTATCACAAGCTGTAAAAATTTAGATCTTGTTCAGCTCTCAGCAAGTTTATAGTCAGCAGTGTGTGGAATGGTAAGGGGAAGGGGAGGGAAAGTGGTTGGGAAATAGACTCAGACACGTGTACAAAAAATACAGAGCAGTATGATGAAGGAAATAAAATGTCTGATGGGAGTACGTAAGTAGGGAACCTGGCCCAGGGTTGAGGATCATTAAAGGTTTCCTAGACAAGTCTGAGAGCTGAGGAGGAGTATGAGTCAGGCTAGTGGCGAAGTCTAATACATTCAGTCCTCTCGACAACCTTAAAATGTAGGAATGAATAATCCTCTTTTATAAGCAGTGAAATCGAAGCCCAGACCGATCATGCAGAATGAGCTCAGAGTAGATTCTAAGTCCGGCTCCCTCCAAAGCCCCTGCTTTTAAACACTCAGCTAGATCTGAAGGAGGAGACTTTCCCGGTAGACTTTTGGAAAGAAAAAAGGAATAGCAGTTATGTTTTACTTTAAAGAAACCAGGTTAAAAATATTTCAGAAGAACACCTGTGATCTCAATCTAGGTTAATTTTGTATTGCAGAAATTATAACACAATTCCAAAATACTAATTGCTACATGAGGCATTACATCTATCTTGGGGGAAATAATCCAGTGGTGCTAATTAAAGAGTATATTTCTCTAAAAGCAATCATTGAGGTTTGGAATGAAACAAAACAATTCTGGGATTTTACTGTTCATAAACCTAAGTGAATGAATACAACAATGGTTTATTTATGTAGTGCTAAAACTGTACGCTACACAGCACCTTACAAGGCTGGGGAGAGACTGAGTACAAATACACGAACCTGACTGTTTATTTCTTCAGTTGGCTACGGGTTACTTGTGTTTAGAAAAGGATAGTGTCACCAAAAAAAATTTACACAGAAAGGTTGATTCAAGTCCCCACATGCAGGAGTTTATGAACACAGAAAGCTCCGTACATCAATAAATGTATCCATCCCCCAAACAGCACTAAAAGAATGCTGGGTTGTGCAAGCAGGCCATAAAATCAAGGCAACACACAATTAAGGGTAAAGTGTTATATATCCTCCAACACCTAAGAGGGCAGCCACATAACAACTTCTAAAACATGGCATTTGAAATAGTAGACAATGCTGGAAGGAATGCATCATTTGTAGAAGTTTGGGAGGAGGGGTGGAGGAGAAAACAATTACCTCTTCATTTTAATATTTTAAGAAATGTATAAAATCTTTTGTTTTTGAAGCTTTCTGACAGTATTAAGAGCAATTTTATTGCTTCTATGTTGTTACCTACATTTTCACAGATCAATTTCTTCTTTTCATTTCTCTTTGCAAATCTTCAGAGCCAGCCAGCCCAGAAGTGGGGCATCTGCTCAGTGCTTTGAGGCCTGAAGAGGATGCCTGTGTTGCCATTCAGATATTAGAACTGGCAGCTTCAACTAAAGACCCCAAAGTCCCCTGAGTCTCTGCAGAGGCAACCACCTATTGATTTCCTAATTTTTCATCACCAGAAGGCATGGATTTCCTGTTTTACTAATTATATACTTAATTTGAAATCAGAAAAGGGCAATGGGTAATGCATATTGTGTGTGGGTTAACCTTCCTCAGTTAACCTTCTCAGGTCCCTCTTCATGGTGAATATAAGGATAGAAAATTAAAGAGTACGCAGAGGAAGGCAATTTCTATCCCCCAGACCAAACAAGAAAAGACTCTGATGAGCTTCGGGAAGGAGCACAGAGGCCTTTCTTTCTTCCTTTCGGTTTTGGGATTGGAACCTGATGGAATGTTTATGATTCCAGGACCTTTGCTCTGATCTCTGCCCAGAGCCTCAGGATGGAACTGAATTGTTCTCTTATGGAATCATGGAAGCATTAGGGTAGCATTAGGAATCAACATTACTCTCTGGATCTAGAAATTGATTTTACAGTTGAATACTACGTCTTCAGCTAGGAGAATACGTTCATAGTATGAAAGGAGTATTTTAATCTGAATTGGGGGAGAAACAGTATTATTTGTCCTAAGAATGAGATTATTAAATGGGATCCCATATAATTTCTGAGTAAAATGTCAGAACTATTAAAATCAAGGAGGAAGCCGAACACATGCCTGCATTCACATGTTTTCTTTTTGGGTTTTGTGAGTGAAAGAGAATGAAACAAGTTTTATTTTATTGGGTAATTTGAATATTTCCTATTTAAAGGGAAAGGAAATGGTGCAGAGGTCATGTTTTCTAAGTTTTAGGGTTTCAGGGTCATTGTTTGAATATACTCAAGACTATGATAAAGGAATCATCTTCATGACTGCCATCTTACTACCTTTTCTTGCCATACTTTCAGACTCATTTTGTACTCATTATTTTTGACTTAAGTCATTAGTTTCATGTAAAGTGAAACTAGAGTAAACTTTTTAATTTACTTGTGCTCCAAGAATTATCTGTCCCGTTTTCCTTTCAATTTGGCTTTCTGTGGTTTTGGACCACAGAATTTGGCTATTACTTCAAAATTGCATCGGACATTCAAGCTTTGAAACTTTCAACAAATTTACAGAACACAGCTCAACCAAATGTCATAAGATGTAAGTTTGAAAACTTTTAAGACTTTCCCATTCATTTCTCTTTCTCATTGTCACTACTTCTTTTAATAGCTATCCAGATTGATCTCTTTAACACATCATTAAGCTGGCCACCTGCCAGAGTTTGGGTCATCTAGGGACACATTAGTCCCTCACTCTCTTCTTTCCTGGGGTCTGCTGTCACTGGTCATAGATGAGACACATGAGAGTTTAGCACCGGTACTGGATTTGCGCCTACCTGCAAGATTATTGTGCCTAGTTAGGGGGATTTTTGTTCCAAAATTCTTCCATGTTACCTAAAGGGTATCTTTAAAAAAAAAAAATTGACTCAATTCTGTTTAAATAGGTATTTAGAAATTGATGTCTCTCAGTTTTCTGTGCCAAAACAAATAACAAATTTAGTGGTTTAAAAAATAGAAATTTATTATCTTATAGTTCCGAAGGTCGGAAGTCTGGCATGGGTATCACTGAACTAAAATTCAAGGTGTTTGTAGGGCTGCATTACTTTCCTTAAGGTTCTGGGTAGGATCACTTCTGTGCCTTATCCAGTTGCTAGAGGCTTCTGTATTCCTGGACTTGTGGCCCCTTCTTCCATCTTCAAAGCCAGCACTGGCAAGTTGAATCCTTCTCACATCATATCACATCGCTCTGACCTCTCTTCTGCTTCCTTTTTCCACTTTTAAGGACCTTGTGATTACATTTGGTTCATACAAATAATCCAGGATTGTCTCCCTATGTTGAGATCAGCTCATTAACAACTGTAATTCCATCTGCAACCTAAAACTCCTTTTGCCATATAAGATAAGACGTTCAAAGTTCCCAGGGATTAGGAGGTAGACAGTTTAGGGGAATATTTTCTTGTCTACCACATCCAGCTAGGATTTTTTTTTTTCCAGATTAAAAAATAATAAATTAAAACATAGACACTAAAAGGCACATAAATAATTAGCATAGAGTTCAATGAATTTTCACAAAATAAATATACCCGTGTAACTTTTTTTTTTTAAGATTTTATTTATTTATTTGAGAGAGAGAGAATGAGAGATAGAGAGCACGAGAGGGAAGAGGGTCAGAGGGAGAAGCAGACTCCCTGCTGAGCAGGGAGCCCGATGCGGGACTCGATCCCTGGACTCCAGGATCATGACCTGAGCTGAAGGCAGTCGCTTAACCAACTGAGCCACCCAGGCACCCTACCCGTGTAACTTTTTAACGAGGACTCAGATCAAGAAACAGAACATCTCTGTCTTCCTAGAGGTCTCTCTTGAGTGCTCTTCAAGCCACCTCTCTCAGGGATAACTACTCTCTTGATTTTTAACACCATGGATTAGTTTCATCTATTTTTTTTCAATAAAAATGCAAATTTTTAAAACCATTACAGTGTATTTAAAAGTAAACTGTATCACACACTTCCTAGGTTTAAAACTGTTCTCTCAAGGTTTTTTGTTTTGGGTTTTTTTTTCTTTCTTTCTTTTTTTTTTTAAGGAAACTAGTCTTCGAAGGTTTTTGGTGACTATAGCTATTTCTCACGTTTCTTCTTCTTTCTCTCTGGTTCATCAATGTCCATGTTTGGAGTATCAGCCGAAATGCTTATTCCTGGTATCTGTGGTTCTGCCAGGGACATTCGGATTTTCTGATGCTGAAGATTGGATGAGTCTAGCATGATTTTCACTTTAACTTTATCAAATATATGAAACACTGTATCCTCTATTTTAAGGGAAGGTATCTCATCATCATAAATAAGCCTTGGCTTTGGTTTGTCCTTTTCTTCAAAAAAGACAGTACCTTCTAAACCATACTTTGGAATTAACACCACAATAGCATTCTTTCTTACAAATAGAATATAGGCTTCTTCACTTACTATTCCTTTGCTTTTGAAAAACAACTGGGTATGAAAAGCCACTGATGCACGTTGGGCATACTGAGCCATTTTGTGCGGGAAGTTGAGCTTTTTACATAAATCTGCAAGCATGTGTTTGTCTGTCAACTCTGGATACGTACAGTCAGCCCCAATAGCCACAGCCAACAACTGATGCACGATGCTGTCTGCATATCTTCTGATGGGTGAAGTTAAATGTGTGTATATGGGCGATGCTAAGCCGTAGTGATGAAAATCATTGTCCATTCCAGAGCAGAAGTACACGGCCTGCATCATACAGCGAGTGGCTAAGATCCTTAAGAGAGTGTTGACATACGGAAAAGTCCGAGAATCTGCCCGGTCCAAAGAGTCATCTATTTTAATAACAGCTTTATTAAGATATAATTCACAGGCCATATGATTTACCAATTTAAAGTATACAATTCAATGGCTTTTAGTATATTCAAAGAGTTCAATCTATTTTAGAACATTTTCATTATTCCAAAAAAAAAAAAAAAACCCCACACTCTTTAAATATTACACCTAAACATCCTCTTCTGTTCCTATCCTCTGGCCCTAGGTAACCATTAATCTATTCTCTGTCTCTATAGATTTACCTTTTCTGGACATTTCATATAAAAGGAATCATACAATATGTGTTCTTTGTGACTGGCTTCCTTCATTCAGCATGTTTTCAGGGTTTGTCCATGTTATAGCATGTATCAGTGCTTCATTTCTTTTCATTGCTTCATAATATTTCACTGTATGGATATATCACATTTTATTTATGTATTCATTTGCAAACGAATGTTTGTGTTCCCATATTTTATGAATTTTGGATTTTATGAATAATGCTGCTCTAAATATTCAGGTACAAGTATTTGTGCAGACATACGTTTTCCTTTCTCTTGGGTACATTCCTAGGAGTAGAATTGCTAGATCTCATGGTAACGTGTTTGAGGAACTACCAAAGTGTTTTCCAAAGCAGGGGCACCATTTTATTCTCATTGACAGAGAAATCAGATCAGAAATCATCTGATTTCTCCACATCTTTGTCCACACTTGCTATCATCTGTCTTTTCAGTTAGAGCCATCTTGTTGGGTGTGAAATGGCATCTCATTATGGTTTTGATTTATATTTCCTTGATACCTAATGATGCTAAACATCTTTTCAAGTTCTTATTGGCCATTTGTGTATATCTTCTTTGGAGAATTATCTATTCAGACACTTTGACCCCTTTTTATTTGGATTGTCTTTTTATTACTGAGTTACAATAATTCATTATGTATTCTAGATAAAAGTTGCTTGTGCTTTTGATATCACACATAAAAACTGCCTAATCCAAGATCATGAATATTTATACATATATTTTGATCTTTAATCCATTTTGATATAATTTTTACATATGCTATGAGGTAGGAGTCCAAATTTATTCTTTTGTATGTGGATATCTAGTTGTCCTAGTACCATTTGTTGAAAAAACAATTCCCAAGTCACCCATTTTTAATATACTCATCTAGTATGTACATTTTTTTGCTGGCTTCCTTCTCTCAGAATTGTATTGTGAGATTCATCCATACCTTTGCATATAGTTTCTTTATTCTCTAGCATTCTGCTACATGAATATATCATATTTTATTCATCCAGTCTACCTTTATTGGCCAATTGGGTAGTGTCTAGTTTGGGGCTATTATGAGTAGTACTGACATGAACATTCTAACATGTCTTTCAGTGAGTATCTGGACACATTTCCATTTGGATTTTTGTGTACTTGAAATCTTATACTCGAGCTTTAGCATAAGGACAATTATTGGTTATCACATACTACAAAAGAAAATCTTGGGGATTCAACTAGAAATTTTGCAACTTAATCATTAGTCTGAAATCTGTCTTATCCTAAAGAGGTGTTTTATGCCTTATGCCATCTACATTATAGAGCTTTCTTGGAGAATATCTAGGTTTGGTATAGCAGCAAAGAATAAGAATGAAGAGCTGTTGGTGGGCCTGCCTTGTTAGAATTTTTTCCAACAAATACTCTTTTGAGTCCCTGTGTATTCAAAGTTTTGTACCAGGCACTGTAAAGATGCCAGTGTAGGTGATAGACATGTTAACATATTAATAGGAAATTATTATATGGCTTGGTGAATTCTCTGGTATTCAGTGTGCAGTTGGCATGAAAAGTATGATAACCTTGCCCAGAATCCTGGCAGTCCGTGCAAGTTCCCAGAAGAAGAGGTGAATGAACTAAGCTGAGATTTGAATGATGGGTAGGATTCCTCATGTAAGGGGTGCTGGTTGCTAGAGTCAGAAAATGATGCCTACTCTCTAAACTAGATAGACACATCCCATGCCATGGATGAGGCGAATCATGGGTAAGTTTACTGTTTTCTTAGCTGGGTAGATCATTAGCATTCCTCTGTTACTGACAGGTTTACTTCAAAGCTGCCTGGAATCTTAGATGGAGGCTCTTGGCTTTAAAAGTTTGCTTTTTGGCTCCCTAACCTTTACTTACTCAGAAAGCCAAGAGGAGGAAAGACAAGGACTTGAAGAAACAGAGAAAAAGAAGTAGAGACAGCAAGAAAAGAGGTTAAAAAAACCTTGACAATTTGGTTTTCCTTTGCACGCACATGGACTTTGTGTATTTTACTTTATGAATTTAATAACCTTATTCTAATAAGGGATCCATAGTCATCAGTAGACTGCCAAAGAGGTCCACAGCCAGAAAAGGTTAAAAACCCCTAGCTTAAAATACAAATCCAAGACCTAATTATGCTAATAGAGTCAAATGCATTATTTCTGTTTAAAGTAAGCTATCCCTGAAAACTGGTAATGAGCGTGAGTTGACATACAAGATCAATTCTTCTGTACCACTGTCTGGAAAAGACCATAAGCAGGACTGATGCCAATGGATTTTCACCCCTGGAAGCAACTGGCATAGAGGAGCTGCTCAGTGAGGGAATGTATCAATGGTTAGGTTTACTTCCGGGTAATGAAGTCTTGAAACACTACATTATCATGGGTCTGCAGTCCCTTTGTAATAACTCTTATATGAACTCCAGTTCCTCTGAGTCATAGTTTAATTTTCTTTTCTTCAGGTGAAACTAAACCCTGAATAGGGAATCAATATTTTTTTCCTTATAAGGTTGCATAGTAACCTCTATCCTGATTTCTCCGAAAACTATAATCTATAAACTTCTAATCAGTATAAATCCAGTTTCATCAAGAAATTATCTGGACAAGAGAAAGTGGATGTGGGCAGATACAAAATCTGCCAGTTGCATTTTTCCAAGAAGATCATCTTCTCCTTTAAGCACATGTCAAATTGGAGCCTTCCAGCAGGATCACCAGGGAGTCTCTGACACAGGAAGTTTGTCTTTGTGTATCACATTAGGAAATCAAATTAGCTTTTTCCTGTTACTTTTAATCAAAATATACAGATTCTGATTATTGAACATAATTAGATTTCCTTACTTAGCATACACTTTGCTCTGAGTTACTGATTATTGCTGAAAACCAAACAAAACCTGGAGCTCATTCAGGAGGACTCCAGAAGAGTCAGACTGCCTCAGGGCTGCCTTTTGGTGACCAACTTATCTTAGAGAAGGGAGTCAATTCTGTGCTTTGGCTTTGGTAAAAGAATTAGTCACACTGTTGACCTGACAAAAAAGAGCTTAATTATGGAAAGAAGTAGTCTTCCTTTGAACTTTTTAGATTTTTGAGAATAATACTTTATCTAGACCAGGGATAGGCAAACTACAACCGATGGGCCAAATGTAGCCCCCCATCTGTTTTTATAGATAAAGTTTTATTGGAGCACAGCCCCTCCCATTTTTTTACATAGTGTTTGTGGCAGCTTTTGCACAACAACAGTAGAGTTGAGTAGTTGAGATAGACTATATGGCCCACAAACCCTAAAATATTTACTATTTGGTTCTTTAACAGAAAAACTTTGCTGACTTCTGGCCTAGACTACAGAATGTCTTTTGTATCCATTTGCTTATGAGAAAAGAATGTTTAACAGCTTAAGAAAATCGTTAGTATTCAGTGGTTCCAATTCTGGTCTGATTGGCTCAAGAACTCTTGAGGCCATTTGATACTTCCAGTTGCCCCCCTGTAAGTCATAACAGACTACCTGTAAGCTATCTGAGATTAGGGACAGTTGTGCTAGGCAAACCTCTGTCTACATAGAAGAAGCATGAATTAACCAAAAACACAACTAAAAATATGGTACAATCAAAGCCCAGAGTCAGACAGACACCTGTGGGTATCGTAGGAAAGCTACTCACTTGTTGTCCTTTCAGATATATATTCTTTTACCATTTTTTTTCAGTATGTATTTATCAGAGAGATTGAGTGCTGTGTGGTGGAATAGGGAAACAGGACAACCCCATTAAGAATCTTGACAGCAGTACTTAAATTTTGCTGAGACTATGACTGAGTAACTGTTGGTAAAACACCAGTATCATTATGTATATTTTTGTGTTTGTGCCATTGTACAAATAAAAAATTAATGTGACATGGAAAGTACCCCTTGGCATATCTAATAAATAAAATAAAACACAATATGTAAAATATATTGAGGAAGATAAAGTGAATCAGCCTATTTGCAGATTTTAGGGAAAGCCAGCAGGTTAAAAAAGAAAGTATTCTCTAAAAGTTAGAATTGAGGATTTGGGGCTCTAAAGGAATCTTTAATGATGAGGTCAGACAGAGTCTGACAGAGAAAACAAATTTAGGCTGACAGGAAGAAGGACATGTGAACAACTGTAAAGCTAGGAAGGGGGCAGAATTGGAATAATTTATTACCATGACATGCTATACTGTTTAAGTTCTCTTTGGGTTTGGTATGTCTTCTGATACACAAATACCAGGTGATGCAGGCTTTCATATAGCTCTGCTTTCTGCAGCTTATCAGAAACTTTAGTGAGAATTGGCATAGGAGTAGAGGTTATAGAGAGATGGCACAGGAGGAAAACAATGATTCAGTTGGCATCTGAAAACAGTGTAAGGGCTATTACCATATGCTTATGCTCTGTTAAAAGAATATCACTATCTGCTGCATTCAATTAACTGACATTTATCTATTAAATGCCCTCTATTTCCAGATCCTGCATGGGTTCAGAATACAGGTGGAAATAC